CATATTTGAGGGAAAAAGGAAAAAAAAAAAAAAAAAAAAAAAAAGGTTCAGCTCAGTCCACCCCAAGGTGCTTCTATGCTCCTCTGCTGGTTAGGAGACACTAATGTGGATGAATGCATGGAACTGAGGCTTGTCTGGAACTCCACATATTTACCACAGCCCTATCAGCTAAACAGAAATGAAAACCACAGAGCAAACAAAGCAGAGCTGGGACCTACTAACAGGGAGCCATGCAGAGCAGAGCCCTTAGCCTCTGCAGAGCAGGAAGCATATATCCTTGCCACTATGACTTAGGGTGCCTCCCACAGCACAGCTCCACTGGGTAGGAAGAGCTGTACCTGCCTTTACCTTCCTCTGGTGAGCCAAAGTAGTCTAGTCAGGTGAAACTGACAACAGAGGGGAGCACCTTACCCGGAGAGACTTGTGCAGCTCTTGCATCTGGGAGGTTCTAGTTGTCTCGGGAATCTCTTTATGGAGACGGGCTTCTTCCAAGCGCTTCATTGCCCTGTGACCCAGAAACAGTTACTACAGGAACAGAGGAGCTGTCAGCAAGGGTCTGCACGTCTCTACTGCTCAATTTCACCTGACAACCACGCTAACACAAAACCCATCATCAGTCCCCACAACAAGAAGCAAGTGTCTTCTAGACTCTGCTTACCTGGGAAGTGAGTAATTAGCAATCCAGAGTCTGGCCACCTTCAGGCTATTGGGTCCTTCATGGTACCAGGTTTGCTGATACTGAAAGGCAAATTAACAACAGAAATGTTAAGTCTGAAGCATGCCTGCCCTCCTCACAGCTGTCAATTCTCAACGCTAAGTGCTCACAAAGAAGGCAATTAATCCAGTGATAGAAGGAAACAAACAGACGTGCCTTTTGCTCCTTTCTTCCTATGACATCTTCTCAGATGGGCTCTGGTTTCATATTAAGGTAAACCAAAACACTCTGGCTTTTTCCTGAATGGAGAGCTCAATTAACCCCATCCATACTCACATAAGAATTCTAAACTACTACCATCAACTGTTCCTAAGTGACAGCCCTGACATCCCTCATCCTAGCAAAACAAACCACTGGACAGAGAAAACAGAACTATTTCCACATTTCCACCACAGCTTACCTCTTCTTTGGACTTCTTAGATTTCTCATCATCTTTCTTTGTTTTTTTTAAGGCGTCAGTACCAACCACTGAGAGGATATTCCTTAACCTGTCACAGAAGAGGTCAGAGCATTTGTAGTGCTGCGATGAGACTGTCAAAAAGCACAGTAGTTCACCTCCATGTGGAGAGGTTTCAAGGTCCCCAGCAAATGTCTGCCACCACAGAGAGCACTGCACCTTACCCATACCACAGATTTTTTCCCCCAACTCATACTTCTGTAAAACTTAATTTATAAATTAGGCGTGGTAAGAGATTAGTACCAACCAAAGTTCTGTGAATGTACCGACCCCACACCACCATTTTACTGTACTGCATGCACCAATGGAAAGGCAGCACACACAGAATGGGTACACAGGATAGATGGAGCAGGATGGAGGAGAATTCAGCACACTGCTCAGAATGGTGTGCAATTTAAAACTCATAAACTCTTACTTCTGACATTTTTCCAGTCAGTATTTTTGGACCACAAAGGAGTACGGATAAATATAACCAGGGAAAGTAAGACAAATACTGGGGAACACTGTACACCATCGTTCTTACCACTCAGACCTCTAGCAACCTTTCCTGAGAGCCAAGTGGGCATGCTAAGCTTTCTGTGAGCTCTTCCACTCAATCTTTACTTGAAGGTTCCTCAAACCCAATATAAGCAATTACTCTAGTCCATTTAGAGTCTAAACACTGCTGCCATTTGGTCTCTAAGGACAGCTAGAATCCTCTCAGTGCCACAATGTGCAGGGAACTGACTGAGGGAAGGCTACATAATGACTAAGAACAGTTCTGAAGGGAAGACAGAAAGTAGTCCATCCCACCAGGCATCATAACAGCAAGCAGAGAGAGTAAAGGGGAAAATGGAAGAGGCAGGTAATGCAGGTTTTGAGGGGGACAATCAGGGAAGGCTTCATAGAAAAAGTGTTATTTATATCAAGTGCTCAGTCATGTCATGGCGTCAAAAATGGCAAAAGGACAGTTGAGGCACTGATTAAAGAAATGAAAGGCCTGGCGTTAAGAAACACAGATTGAGCTTGGACTGACAGTTCAGTATAGCTAGAGCATGGAGTACAAGAAGAGGGCTGGTGAAGGCCAAAGCTGGAACTTCAAGCAGGAGCCAGGTCACAAAAAGCCACTGATGTTAGGCAAAGCATAGTTTATGAGTGAGAACTATCTCTAGTTGCTTTGGTATGAAAATGGGTGGCAGAGGGAATAATGGTTGGAAAACCAGACTACAGTTATAGCAATCTTGAGTCATAATGGTGGATCTGAGTTAAAGCAGTGGCAGTAGGATTCAAGGCATTTACCTAAGGGACATAATAATCCAATAAAATAGGCATTGCTGGTGAAGAGAATTGATAAGCAGTAAAAATATACCCTTTGAGGGCAAGCAACATGGCTACTCAGTGCATAAAGCAACTTGCTGCCCAGCATCATGATCTGAGTTCAATTCCCAGGAGTCGCATGGTAGAAGGAGAAAACTTAACTCCTACAAGTTCCTCTGACCCCCAGAGATGCGCTGTGGAACACACATATCCATATAAATAAATGTTAAAAAATACCCTTTGAAGCCACGTATGGTGCACATGCCTTTAGTCCCAGCACTTGAGAGGCAGAGGCAAAAGGATCTCTGTGATGTTGAGGCCAGCTTGGTCTACATAGCAAGTTCTAGGCCAGCTGGGGCTTTGGAGAAACCCTGTTTTAAAACAAAACAAAAACACAAAGACAAAAACTTAAAACAAAAACCTCTGAAAAAGCCAATACAAAAACAACATATTTTGACAGGAAATAATGGAGGGGTTTACTTTGCAAGGGAAAGGCCTATCTGGACAAGTAGCGTTTATGCTCAAACAAAATTAAAAGGCTCTAAAAGGTAGAAGAGAGAAACAAAAAGAAAAATTAAGTGGAAAGACATAAAAAGAGTTTGTGTATTCAGGAAGCCCAACTGCCTGGTCTAAGCTGGGGAAGAAAAACAGAGGCTGAAGACCTCTTACGCCAAGCATAATCACAGCCAATGTTTTTTGGTGCTGAGGTAAACACTTGGCCTTGTGTATGCCAGGCAAGTGCTCTCTACTACTGAGCTATACCACTAAGTTACTCTGACAAGAGTACGACACTCAGCAAGCAATTAACACTGTCCAGATGTGAAAGCAACAGAAACAGCAAAGACAGAAGAGAGATACATTTCATACATACAATAAGCTTTGCAGGTAACAAAAGAGTTTTGAAAGGAGTCCTATGTGAATGGCAGATCCATTTGCAAAGCAAATAGGAGAGCGGTAGCGTATAGCTTTCAATTCAGACACCTTGGAGTTTGTAGGATATCCAGGCTACAGAGAGATCTGGGAATTGGCAGGACATACCAGAAACAATGCCAGAGAGTGGATCTGATCACCAGGGTGAGTACAGAGTAAGCAAAGAACTGCAGCCTATAAAGGCGAGGAAGGAAAAAGTGCCTTAGGAAGGAAGAACAGCCAGGGAGACAGGCGGAAATTCAGAAAGCCTGAAGCAGTATACTAGGCTTATTTTTGGTCTTTTTTGAGACAAGGTCTCCCAGTAGAACTCGCTATGTAGACTAGGCTGGCCTTGATCTCTCAGTCACCTGCCTCTGCCTACTGAGTGTTAGGATTAAAGCTATGTGCCACCACACCAACCTCGGGGTAGTCTTAGGAAAGGCAAATTGGTGACTTTAAGAAACAGTGATTTCAAGGTAAAAAGGGTCAATCAATTTACAATGGGCTGAAGAGTAAACAAGGAATTAAGAACTTTAAGAGAGTTAATGTAAACTACCTTCAAGAGGCCTAATGATGAAGCAGAGGATAACACTGGACATAGAAATGAGAGGGCCTCCCAACTGCATATGGCTAGTCCACCATCAAGATACTCTACAACCTTAGAAACTACAAGAGGAGAAGCTGAGAACAGCACTCCTCTCAATTATATCCAAAAACACGTATCAAGCTTAAGTCACTGACATGGAATTCACTCGATGCCTATGTTTTTAAAGCCCAACGACAAATATTTATCCGACTCAAAACTTTATACCAGGGCAGGAAAGGGATGTACATTGATACCTTCGTCACAACCCATAAAGAAAAACTAGAAGCCAGGCGTGGTGGCACATGCTTTTAATCCCAGCACTCAGGAGGCAGAGGCAGGCAGATCTCTGTGAGTTCAAGGCCAGCATGGTCTACAAAGTGAGTTCCAGGATAGCTGGGGCTACAAGGAGGCCCTGTCTCAAAAAGACCAAAAGAAAAAAAAGAAAAACTAGAAATGGAGTAAAAATCAGCCTAAGACTCAGATTATCAGCTAAACTACATAATTTATAATATTGTTCATACCATGAAATATTCTCCTGAGGCTTCAGCTACAGCCTCAACAGGGTACAGAATCAGAATCTTGTACTTAATAAACAAAAGCGTAAATACTTAGAAAAGGCACCTTTCTCTTCTTTCAGCAGGGCCCTCTCCAAAAAGTGTGATGGGCTCCCCCAAAGCCCTAAGGCAAGCCTTGACCTCCGAGTCATCGGTGGAAACGTTGATTTGCCTGGCTCGCTTCCTTCTCTCAAACTCTGCCAAGACCTCTGCCTGTCGCTCACTGATGTGCTCCTCGATTTCAAACACTTCTCCTGCAAAAGAACAGCACCATCAGTATAACCACCAGACTGTCTTCAAATAGGGGGATATTGTCTAACAACTGGAGTCTGTGTGCGGCTCTAGAATACAGCTTTTTAAACTGTGGATCAACACCATGAAGCAGTGCATATCTGAATGTGGGGCTCACCAAGAATTGACCAAGAACAAAGGTTTCTGGACATGCAATGACCAACAATTAATTCAGAATCAAATTCATACCAAACCAGACTTGTTTCTGGTAGTGCTCACTACAGCCTTGACTCTGAACACATGTGCACTCAGCACTGCATGTACTGTCCTGCCACTTACACCAAGGTGCACTGCCCAAAACATGATGGCTCAGACTATCGTGTGTTATGAACTTTAATGTTTTTACTGTACATAAAAGATTTTTATTTATTATATTTTTTATAATTCATTTTTTTAATTTGATTTTTTTTGTATGTGTATGAGCACATTGCCTACTTGTATGTAAGTACACCTGTGTTATACAATGCCCACAGAGGTCAGAAGACGGCATCAGATCCCCTGGAACTGGAGTTACGGATAGTTGTTAGATGCCATGTAGGTGCTAGGATTTGAACACAGGTCCTCTGCAAGAGCAGCGAATGCTCTTGAGTCATCGCTCCAGCCCAGATTTTTGCTCTTATAGAAACATAATGGTTGAATTATGGTAAACACCTAATTCCCTCAGCATGTTAGTATCAAATTAATGTATCTTTGGGTTGTATTGCATTAGAATGTTTGATTATTTAAAATGCTGTTTGGCCAAAATAAAAAATAAAAAGGAAGGGAGGGGTACAGAGGAAAGATGGGTGAAGCATAGCATGGCAGTGCAGTTCTGTAATCTCAGAACTTGATCAGATCAAGTATCCTTGGCTACATAGTGAGTACAAGGTCAGCCTGGGTTCTATGGACCCTGCCTCAAAGAAACAAACAAAAGATTTGCTATTTGAGTTTCTGACTTAAGTTTCAAAAAAAAAAAAAAAAATAATAATTGAATGAATTTTGACTTTGGGTTAAGACAGAATTGAATTTCCAGTAATTACTGAATGGCTTGAAACATACTTCTGTCATTTTGTACTACATATTTAAACAAAGTAGTATTCTTAGTATTGATGGTTGTAAAAATCAAAGTATTGATCGACTCTGAAAGACACTGAAGATGCTCTATATTGATCAGCCAAGATTTAGTTCTCTATGTAAAGATATATATCTATTGTATTTGTATGCAAATTTGCTTGTCTTTAATAAATGGTAAAAATTTATACATAATAATTGTTTTAAAATAAATTTCTCTATGATTTGTTATCAATAAATGATTTATAAACCCATTGTATTAACTATATACTTGGGGTCATGAAAAAGGCAACTGCCTAATCTATACATATTTTACATACAGTTCACTGTTTTCAGCTTGTTAAATTATGCTGAACATATAAATCCAAATGGTACTTTAATAATTAAGGCAGGAGCAAGGTTCAAGTCACCTCATGTTTCCTGTGGCAACCTAGTACCTACATATAGCTTAGCGAGAACAGGAATCAACCAGGTCATCTACTCAGAAGGTAAGGCACAAGTGTTATTCCACAATTGCCAAAGCTACTTGCTAATCAAGTGCTGAGATTACAGAACTGCACAGTCACAGTACAGGACCAATTACATACATTAACTAGTGCAGAAAATGAGATTTCTGTGACTGTATTGGCTTTTTGGATCAGCTAGCAACTACTTTTACAATCCACACCAAATACACATATTTGGCTGAAAAATACGGGGTGCAGTGGGAATGAAGACAGGCTTAAAGAGCCCTGAAGGATAAACAAATGATGCGTGTGTGTGAGAAGCCTGGTAGTCTTTCAGAGCAATCTTTTATTTCTGTTGTTTCTTTTTTTTTTTTTTTGAGACAGAGTCTCTAGCTCAGGCAGGTCTTGACCTCTGTATGTAACCAGAACATGTAGGATGTTCTTGAATTTGTGATCTTTCTGCCTTTATTACCTAAGTTCTGGGATTGCAGGCCACCATGCCAACAAGCACCTCTATCAACTGAGTAACATCTACAGCTCTCAGAGCAACCTTCAAACTTTATACCTTTGTGCACTATTTCAATTTCTTATGACCAATATGCATAACTTTAATTTAAAAACATAACACTCTTAAGCTGGGCATGGTGGCTCACCTCTGTAACCCAGCACTCAGGAGGGTGAGGCAGAAGATTGCCACACCTTCTAGGCTAGCATGGGCTACAGAGTAAGATCCCGTTTCAAAAAACCAAAATAAGTAAATATGAGCCCAGAATGGTGCCACACACCTTTAACCCCAGTACTTGGGAGGCAGAGGTAGGTAGATCTCTGTGAGTTTGAGTCCAGCCTGGTCTACATAGAGAGTTCCAGGCCATCCAGGAATACATACTGAGATCCTGTCTGAAAATAAAATTAATTTCGTCACTAAACTGAAAAACTTAGTTACAAAACAATTACATTACCATGGTTTCATTTACAGTAAAAATGTTTTTTTCTATAGGTCTATAAAAATTCTATACAAGATTTTCTACTTCATACAGACATACTTTAATTAAAAAAAACTTTTAGAAGTAATTATTTTGCTTTGTATAATGTCAATAAGTAGCCAATAAGGTTATCTGAGGCACAATTATTGCTAAAAGTAACTATTTACATTTATAATAAATTATTTCAAGCAGTAGAAAAATAATTAGAAAACTAACAACTCTAGTGAAAAAATCAATGCTAGAGCTACATTAGGTCTACAGACCACAACTAGAACTAATGATCGCAAACACACTGTGAATAAACTTGCCAAGATTAGTAGCAATCCATGCAAGAAAAACTGTATGAAACACTGTGAGAAGAACACTCCCTGGATGATGCCATGGACAGACATACAGATGCAACAGTAAAAACTGAAGGATGTGTTTGTGTGTGCATGTATTATATGTGTGCATGTAGAGATCAGCCTGTCTCCCCAACACCGGGATTACAAGTGTGTGTCACCATATTCAGCTTTTTAAAAATAAGGGTTCTGGGGAATCAAACTTCACGCTTGTCCAGCAAACATTTTACCAACTGGGCTATCTCTCTAGCCCAAGAATGAAGTTTTTGACACTCCAGTTTGGGAAGGTATCTAGAAAACTAGATCTTCGGGGCTAAAAGATGGCTCAGTGGTTTTAAGTGCTTACTGCTATTGCAGAGAACTGTGTTTGGCTCCTAGCACCCACGTGGTGGCTCAGAACCCCCTAAAACTCCAGTTCTAGGAGAATCTGACCTCCAAGGGCTTCGGCATGCACATGATACACATAAACTCCTGAAGGCAAATACACATATTCCTACATTTTTAAGGTGGACCATTAAAGGTGTTTGCTCGATTCTAGTACCTAGGAGGGCAAGGCTATAGGACTGAGTTCAAGGTCAGCTTGGGTTACATACTAGCCAAGGGCTGAGGATGTGGCTCAGTGGTGGAGTGCTTGTCTAGCATGTAAAAGACCCTGGATGGAATCCTCTGTGTTGTTTAAAAAAAAAAAAAAGTAAAGATGGATTTGCAAATTGCATCTTACCAGAGGTTATATTTATATTTCCCGCTTCAATTCCTGCTTTAAGTCCTTCTTTTCCTAAAATCCCAGACTCTCCTTTGGCCAGGCGTTCCCTCTCCTTCTCTTCCAAGCTTCCATAATAGATGTGTGGTTTCTTCACAACAGGAGCAACTAAATCATCAGGGGCTTTAGTTTTGGTTGCCTGTTAAATCAAAGATCCGGATTAATTTAAGACTTAATCCTGACAATTACCCGGGCGTCTCAAAAGGATAAAGCTAATACTGAGCTTCCATCTTATTTTCCCCACACACTAAAGTTCAAGGTGGACATCTGTCAAAACTGATTTGTGGGAGTTTCAGGCTCTCATTAAATTTAGTAGATAGGACGTAAGAGGTTGATAGTAACTTCTCTGGTTGATTTTGAAATCTGGCTTGCTTTGGAGCGCGATTCTACCGATCGTGCAACCTCCGTTTTTGTGCTAACTTCCAGGGTTTATTGTCCATCACTAGGTAAATACCAAGGGTAAACGAAAATAAACAGGGCAGCCTTAAGTGCCAGTTCACAATGTTATTGGACTATACATTTGAAGTATCTCCAGAGTCGAAGTCTGGAGGCCTCGTTACAATTCCGAGGACATACACATCAGTCAAGACTCGTCCCCATTTCAGTGCATCGTGTTTTGGAGCATCAGAGCAGGTGCTCACCGTTTGAGGCTGTAATCAGAGCGGTGCAAAAGAGAGGCAGCACCTGAAGGCATTTAGAAACGAGAAAACGTTGCTAAGCTCCGCGACACACGAGTCCCACAGCCTTCCTCCGCCCTCCGCAGCCCTAGCCCGCTCTTAACGGCCCCTTCCCTCGGGGACCTTGCCCTCTTCAGGATCCCCGCGGGTCTGAAATACGACCCCGGGCTCCATACCGTGGAGGAGGCTCGTGAAGAGGCCATGCTGGGTTCCCGAGCCCCGAGGCCCCAGCTAAATCCTCGCTTGGCGTTTCAGACCGTCCACCGCGCGCCCAGGAAAACGGAAACGCGTCACGACAGGAAGAGGGTAGGGAGCGGACTGTACGCCCTGGCCTGCGCGAAGCATCTTGGGAGTCGTAGTTGTCAAGTTTCAGCTGGCGTCGGAGGAAGTGACTTCGTAGAGTGGCTCAGAAAAACTCGCGGGAGACGTGCCAGAAGATGCGCCGAGCAGTCTGGGAAATGTAGTTCTGGCAGATCGGCCATCGAGTCATGGTGGGAGTCGAGGTTCCGGGAAGGGGCAGAGGCCTGAAAAGAGGTAGGTGTGCGCATCGCAGCGGAGCTCTGGAGCCGACTGAGGGTCCCGAGTCTCCTACCCCAAAGATCATCTGTCATTCTGGAACCGAGGGCCGTGCTGCCATGGGAACCTCGCCCTAGATGCCTGAGTGCAGCCCTGGAGCTGGGGAAGGAGGGCTATTGTCTACGGGGTCCGGAAGTCCTCCCAAGGGGCTCCTCGGAACTGGGTGACTTCGCAGTGAATTTGGGCCTCAAGGAGACTTTAAGCTCGGAAAGCCTTCTAGCGTCTAAGTAAATAAAGACGTGGCGAAGGAGCTGCGGCCTGGTTTGCTGATTTGTCTGCAGCCCATTCTTTGTATTGGATTGAAACGAAGGGTGCAGGGAGGCGTCGCTCCTCTGATTGCTGGGGCATCATCAGAAATGAACAAGACAAGGTTTTTACCTGTTCATGGGGGGTGGGGGAGGTGTTTGCCGAACTGGACCGTCTCTTCCCACTCCTAAACTCCCCCGCCCCAAGCAACTACAATAATCGTAGCTCTTATTGGAGTATTTACTAAATACCAAGTTATGCTCCGGGAGCTTACTCCACCTTACGTCATTCAAGTTACATAACAGAATGAGTACAGACACAGAAACTAAGTTCTGGTGAGATGAAGCTAATCATTCGGTAGTGTAGACCAGGCTTGTTGGTGGCGCTTGCCTTTAATGTCAGCACTCGGGAGGCAGAGGCATGTGGATCTTTGTGAGTTCAAGGTCAGCCTGGTTTATATGGCGAGTGCCAGGCTAATGAGGGCTACATAGTAAGACCTTGAATCAAAAAGCTGCCCCCCCCCCAAAAAAAAAGGAAGAAAGAAAAAGAATGAAGCAGTTTTTAGCCCCATTAGGCGACTGCCGCTTAGTGGCGAGGCTTTTTGTTTACATACAAGCCGGAGAAAGTATTTCTTTTTCCCTTTGGAGCTGGCTTCCATTACCATTTCTCTACATTGGCATGTATCTAATAGATAATCTGTTAGAGGATAGTATCTAATTTAGTACAAAGCAGTTTGAAATGTCATGTGCCAGTGTTTTATGTTGATAATATCATCCCTGTCTGTGCTGAGGCTCCTGAGAAGGGTAAACATTCTTTATAGTCTCTTCACCTTAGATACATATCATAATAATTTATAGCGAACAAACTTTAACAGAATTTTCATTTACATTATCACTTGCTTCTCACTCTAGTGGTCTATGGGTAACTTTTGTTTTGTTTTGTCTTGTTTTTTGAGACGGGTCTCCCTGTAGAGCTGGCCTGGAATTTACTATGTAGACCACACTGGCCTTGAACTCAGCGATCAGCCTGCCCCTGCCTCCCAAGTGCTGTATGGGTAACTTTTATAGGAGGCTGGTATTGTTAACCAACCTGAATGGTTTGCTTTAGCTTTATTAAACAGGCATAATTTGGCCAGCTTTTCAGGGTCTTTGTATTAAAACAAGAACACAAAATAGGAAATGGGGAGGGACTGTGAGATGACTTATTGGGTAAAGGCACCTGCTGCCTCGCCGATGATTTGCCCTCTATCCCTGGGACCCACATGGTGGAAGGAGAGAACTTACTCACCCAGGTTGTCTTCTGACCTCCTTTAGAGGCTGTGGTACATGTGCACCCACCCACCCACAAATACACAATAAATAAATGTAATAAAAAACTTAAAATGGGTGACTAGAATGATAGCTCAGTAATTAAGATGTTGGCTGCTCTTACAAAGGACCCACATTTGGTTCTTAGCACCCACATGTTGGCTAACAACCATCCATAACTCCAGTTCCAGGGTACCCAACGCCCTCTTCTGGCCGCTACAGGCATTGCATGACATACATAAACATACATGCAGGCAAAACACTTGAAAGTAAAAAAAATTTAAATTTAAAAACAAGCAAAAGTAACAGAGAAAAAAGGAATGGGAATGGAAGAACCTAGCACAGGAAACTTTGTTTCTCTTCCTCTGTTTGGATGGCTCATTCTAACATTTACTGACTGCTTACTGTGAATGCTGTGAGAAATATAAAGATAATACCATGAACAGATGTTAAGCTCTACTGGAGACATTTTTTCATTCTGAAACAAAAATGGGTTTTTGTTAACACAAGCATTTGCCTTGTAGAATGCTTTTGAACCTCTGTGGCCCCATCTTTTTTCTTTTTTTTACATCTTGCCCTCAAGTTTATTTGTAAAAACAGCACAGGACACCAGCCTTCTGCAAACAGGAGGGAGGTCACACCAGTTCATCTGTCTTCACATTGGCAAAGACCTTTATTACAGGGCCTTCACAGGGGCCTGGCCACCTTTGGGAGTCTGAGCTGCAGCCTGGGTCTTAGCTGGAGCTGCAGCCTCAGCCTTGGTTGGCATAGCCTGTGGCACTTGGCCACGTAGTCACGAATCGCTTCCCAAGTTTGGGGTGGGCAATGAAAGCAAGTTGGCAGCACTTGCTTTTGGGACCCTTTGGCATTTGGGTTTAACCTCTTTGGGCTTCACAAGGGCTTTGACAGCCTCAGCGCGCAGTCATGGCTCTCGAGTTGGTGGCCTGCATCTTCTTCATGCCCTTCCTGTTGTGCTTCTTGGCAAAACTCATGTTGCTTAGGAACTTGGGGTCCACCCCCTTAAGAGATTTGTATCTTTGTGACCAAGGTTTCTTGATGCCATTTCTGTGCCGTTTTCAAGATTGGTTGTGTGTGGTGTGGTTCTTTGACTTGGCCCTGTCTGCACCTGCAAGAAAGACAGATCAGGGCTGGGGCTCCCCAGGCTGGGTCACATCTGCCACCCTGACAGGAACCCAAGGCTCCAGAAGCGTCTGGGACCGGAAGAGGGCCCTGTCTTTTTCTGTCTACCCTTCAAAAGTCTACTAAGACATCATTTCCCACCGGAACTTAACCTTCCGGACCACCCATGCAGCCCAGATGGGGTGGAGTGCTTATGCAGTGCTGTTGAAAGGCCCTCCTGAGAGTTCTTTACACTGTACTGCCATATTCTGTTGACTTGTCTGTTTTCCTTATAGATTTCAACGGTGAGGTTAAACTCTGTAGCTCAGCACAGGAGGAATCTTTTTAATGAATGACTTGTCCATTTAGGACCTGGTTGGAGCCTGTGGATAGTCCTGGGAATTGGTGAGTTCAGTTTTCATGAGATTTAAACCAGCTAATTTTAGCATCTAGGAATGATCAATCTCATCATCTTCATAGAGAACAGATTGAATTTAATGGTTTGTCCACTTTCCCCTAACTGTACCAATTAAGATGGGATAGTAACCCTCCCCCCCTTTCTTTTTTTGAGACAGGGTCTCCCTGCAGCCCCAGCTGGCCTGGAACTCACTTTGTAGATCAGGTTGGCCTTGATCTCACAGAGATCTGCCTGCTTCTGCCTCCCAAGTGCTGGGATCAAAGGCATGTACCACCATGCCCGGCCCTGTTTTTTCCTTTTTTCTTTTGTGGGTGTAGGTGTGTATATGTGTGAGTGTGTATGTGAATGTGGTAAATGCACATGTGTGTGGGTACGAGCACGTGAAGGCCAAAGGAGGATGTTGGGTGTCCTGCCCTATCACACCCTGCCTCATTCCCTTGAGACAGGGTCTCTCACTGAACATGGAGCTAGGTTGGTAGCCAGCAAGTGCCAGCAATCTTTCGTGCCCTCATAGTTCTGGGGTTACAGGCCTGTGTGAGACCATGCCTGGCTTTTATGTGGGTGTTGGGGACTTGAATTCAGGTCCTCATGCTTGCACAGGAGGCACTCTACCTGCTGAGTTATGTCCCTAACTTTCTTCCTTTTTCTTTCTTTTTTTCTTCCTCTCAAGACAGAGTCACCCTCTGTTGCCCAGGCTTGCCACCAACTCATCGGCTCATGTGACTCCTCTGCCTCATCTTAAGTACTTGAGACTATAGTCATGTGTCACCGTGCTGAGCTATGTGTTCTTTTAGTTGGTGTATTTGGATGTGACCAGAACATGAGATTAAAGTGATTGTTGCCTAGATTTTCTATTGGCAGTTTGCTGTTTTCATTTCTTTCAGAGATTTTTTTTTAGAATTAGAGTAGGAGATCTCTATTGTGTAATTAACATATGAATAATCTGATGCCTGAGTTGTTTAATATCCCTTTCATTTCAGTGTGCATATTTACAAACTGATCTTGTTTGTAGCTCAGACTTAATACCCACAGTTTTTCTTCTCTCTGCCATTTGTAACAGCAAATAGTTCACCTGTTCTGACTCTCAGTGTTGATTTCAATATGCTGCGACGAAAGCCAACACGCCTGGAGCTAAAACTTGATGACATTGAAGAGTTTGAGAGCATTCGAAAGGACCTGGAGGTAAGGGACCACTATCCACCTCTCAGGAGATACTGGAGATGGGAATTGACTCCTGCACCTTGCACTATCCCTGCAGCTTATTTGAAATCTACTTGGATGCTTTACAGACATCTCGAACTAAACCAGTCTGTTTCCTGTGACTGTCAATAGCAAAGAACTGCAAACTTGGTGGTTTGAAACAACATAAAATGATCCTTTCACATTTCGGGGGCGTCACAATCTGAAATCAGTGCCATTAGACTAAAGTCAGAGTGTCACCAGGTCACTCATGTTCCCTCCAGGGGCCAGACAGTTCCTGCCTTGGTTACTCTGGTATCTGGTGGTTGCTTGGTGTTCTGTGAATTTGACCATACCAGTCTGGTCTCCCTGATTGCATGTCTACTGTTCTGGCTGAAATATTCCTCTGCCTCTGTTTTATAAATATATATTTTTTACTTTGTATATTTTAATATGTTTATATTGTATTTATATTAATATATTTTATATTTATATTTTATATATAAAAAATATTTTTTTAAGGAGTCAGGTATAGCTCAGTGATAAAATGCTGGCCTAGAATGTGTGAGGCCCTGGGTTCTACCTCAGCATTACCAAAAAAGGAAAGAAACTGAGAGAAACTCTTTGATTTGTCCCTGAAAGCAGTCATTTGTCATCCCCTTCCATATCCATCTAGTTGTAAACAATCTGTCTGTAAATCCTTTGATTCTGGACATAAGCAGTCTGCTCATATTGTCGTAGTTGCTTGTTCCATGACTCTGATAAAATACCCTGACAAAGCAGCTTAAGGGAGAAAGGGCTTATTCTGGCTTACAGTACCAGGATGCCCAGAGCCTAACTGAATGTAAATAACCCCTCATAGGTGTGCCTGGAGGTTTGTCTCCTAGCTGATGGCAGATCCTCTCAAGTTGATAATGAACAGCAAACATGTCTTTGTATCTTATGGTTTTGTTTTGGTCTTTTTTTTTTTTTTTTTTTTTTTTTTTTTGGTCTTTTTGAGCTGTAGCCCTAGCTGGCCTGGATTCACTTTGGAGACCAGGCTGGCCTCGAACTCACAGAGATCCGCCTGCCTCTGCCTCCCGAGTGCTGGGATTAAAGGTGTGCGCCACCGTGCCTGGCCTGTATCTCATGTCTTTGTATCTGTACTGTTCGGACCCTACTCCAGTGTCCATCTCTTTGTTTCATTTTTAAATTTGAATTTTAAATTTTTTGAAAATTTCATAAATGTATTTATATAGTTTTCACCCCTTTCTCCCTCCTCCCCCCTTTTTTTGTTTTTGAGACAGAGTTTTACTCTGTAGCTTGGGCTGGCCTGGAACTCACTATATAGGCCAGGCTGGCCTTAAACTTGTCGCAGTCCTTCTGCCTCAGCCTCCCAAGTATGGGGATTACAGGTGTGAGACACCGTATCCTATTCTCTGTACAAGTTTAGTGATCTTTTCTCCCTGCCCTTTTCTCTTTAGTTCACTTTCCATCTGGTATCTGGAATGATCTTTAGGATTTTTCATTCTCCTGTTTAGAATTCAGCAGTGATTTCGGGCACCTGGAGTCATGTCTGTACCCTTTATCATAGCCTCCAAGGCCCTGTGTTCAGGCCCCTCTGTAGTTTCACCTCATGCCATTCCTTGTCCACCCCCTAGCCACACCGGCTTCCTTGGACAGGCAAAAATGTTGATTACTTCCTTGGCCTTTGTGCATATTATTTCCCTCTGGGGAGTGTGTCTCTTTTTATCTAACCTTAGTTTAACTGTCACCTTATTTGAGACAGGCTCTTGTAGCACCAGCTGGCATCACAAACTCTGTGTGGTAGAGGAGGACCTTGAACTTTTGATCCTCTTATGTCTGCCTTCTGAGTGCTGGGATGAGTGGTGTGCAGCACCATGCCTGCTAGATGTGATGCTAGGGATTGAACCCAGGGCTCAGTCTTTTGACTCATCTCTCTAGTCCTGCCTGGGTTGGATTCCTCATCCTCCCCCATGTACTGACCTCTCATAGGTGCTGCCACTCTGTTGTAACTGTTAACCTGTTTGCTTCATCTGGGCCAAAAGCTCCTTGAGAGCAATAATTAGCATACTGATCTCTGGAGTCTGTTCCAGAGGGCTTCCCATAAGCCTATTTGCATTTGCTGTTCTAGGAGATAGTTTGTATTGTATTGTTTTTAAAGATTTTATGTAATATTTTTTATTTTATTTTATGTGTATGAATGTATTGCCTGCTTGTATGTAAGTACACTCATGTCATGCAGTGCCCACAGATGTCAGAAGAGGGCATCGGATCCCCTGGAAATGGAGTTATAGATGGTTGTTATCTGCCATGTGAGTGCTGGGAACCGAATCCAGATCCTTTGCAAGAGCAGCTGGTGCTCTTAACCACTGAGCAATCTCTTCAGCCCCAGTTCTTGTTTTGTTTTGTTTTGTATTATATTGTATAGTATTGAATTGTATCGTATCGTATCATATCGTATCGTATCATATTGTATTGTATAGCAAGGGACATTGCGTCTTGCATGAACTCAAAACATGATTGGTTTTATGTCATTAATCTGAAAACTGGTAACTTATATTTCATTTATTTATTTATT